AAAAAAAAAAAAAAAAAAAAAAAGAGGAAATAGCTAGTGCTCCCATCTTGTGACTAAGAGGCAATAGATATAAGGAAAAGGCCAAAAGAGTCCAGAGCCAAGGCTAGCAGCTCCTATCTTCAGATTTTAAAAAATGTTTTAATTTTTTTATTTGAGACAGGGTCTCACTCTGTTGCCCAGGTTGAAGTGCAGTGGCATGATCACAGCTCGCTGCCACCTTGATCTTCTGGATTCAAGTGATCCTCCTGCCTCAGCCTCCTGAGGAGTTGCGACTACAGGCATGTAGCACCATGCCCCGCTAATTTTTGTATTTTTTGTTACAGATGGGGTTTTGCCATGTTGGCCTGTCTGGACTCGAACTCCTGTCCTCAGGTGATCCACCCGCCTCGTCCTTTCAAAGTGCTGGAATTATAGGTATAAGCCACCATGTCCAGCCAGACTTTTTTTTATATATGTGAGAAAAATAAGTTCTTTTTCTTCAAGTCCCTTCAAGTCAGTGTTTCCGTTATTTGTAGCTGAATATATTACTGTCTAATATAGGTGTTGAGAGAAAGTAATGAGATAATAAAGAGCATACCATAAAACAGTCACTCAAGAAATAGTAATTTCTTTCCCCCATCTCTTCCCAAATTGCTTTTCCTGGCTGGAGTTTATGGAGGGCCACATGAAATTATACATTACCTGTTTCTTACACATCTGGGTTAGCTCCTTCTGAGCTCCTTCTGAGCCCTTATATTCTTCAACCAATGCCTTGATTAAGAGAGGGATAACTAAATGTTATTTAACATTGTGTGGTCTTGTGTGTTGGGAGCATTGGCCTAGCTCAATGCTTTAATATCACCTAAAGACTCAAGAATCTTTATCTTATACAAAAGTGTGCCATTATTTTAGTCTCATATTGGCCAACTCCTCAGGTTCATAATAACAACACTAATATCTGCACCAAAGTAGAAGGGTATGGTCGAGCGGCTTGGGTGTTGGGAGCAGTAGGGCCTTTGGACTGTGATCACATGTATGTATTACAGCATCTCTTTGTTTTGGGGGCCACCATTCTTGCTCTGTACGTATGCATCTTATTATCTATAGAAATAAAGCTTGTCTTTGGGATAGTGAGGCTGCTGATAACAGGGGCATATTGTTTGAAACACACTGAATGCATCAGGTTTCCATGCTGTTTAATAATTCAATTCACCCAGATTTAGCAAATGTTTATTGAATGCCCACTGTGTGCTAGGTACTGAAGCCTGGGTGATGAATCAGTCATGGCTTTGCTTTCTGGAACCAAGATCTGTGTGGTGGCTGAAAGATATAGAGATAACTTTGATTCAGAGTTGGTGCTACAATAACGATGCTAACAAAGTTCTATACGACTTTGAGGCAAGAAGAAAAGGATTAGTTTCACCTAGGGGAGTCAAATAAAGGCATCAGAATGGCAGTGAGAAAGGCACTCTCTTGTACTTGTTATTTAGTTTCACCTAATAATGGCTTATAACTGCTAAAGTATAATTGTTAAAGTATAAAATTCTTTCATATAGAACTCCAATGAGTCCTAGCAACACCACCATGAGGTGGGCATGCTCTGACAATTTATACATATAGGGCTAAACTGAGACTCAGCAAAGTTTTAAGCATTCACAAGGCTTTAAGTGAAGAAGAATGCAGGTTTTCTAACTCCAGATTTAGTTCTTTCTCTGTAGATAGATACATGATTTTTACAGTCTACAGCAGTGGTTCTAAAACTAGGCTGCACATTAGACTCTCTTGGAAGGTTTTAAAGACCCCATATGCACACTGCACCGAGGCCAATTAAATCAGACTCTCTTGGGAGTGGGACCCAGGTATCAGAGTGTGTGTGTGTTTAATTATTTATTTAAAAAGTTAAAACTAAAAAAATACAGAACATAAAATTTACCATCTTAATTTTTAAGTAGCATTAATCATATTGACATTGTGGTGCTACCATCACCATCCTTCTCCAGAATGCTTTTCAGAATTGAAACTCTGTACCCATTAAACAATAACTCCCCATTTTCCCCTATCCCAAGCCCTGATAACCACTATTCTACTTTATGTCTCTATACTATTTTGATGACTCTAATTGCCTCATATAAGTGGAATCATACAGTGTTTGTCTTGTTCTGACTATTTCACTTAGCACAATGACCTCAAGGTTCATTCACATTGTAGCAGGTGCTAGAATTTGGCTGATCAATATTCCATTGTATGTATATGCCACATTGTTTATCCCTTCATCCACTGATGGCCACTTGGGATGCTTTCACCTTTTGGCTATTGTGAATAGTGCTGTAGGAACACAGGTGTACAAATAGTTCTTTGAGACCATGCTTTCAATTCTTCTGAGTATGTATCCAGAATTGGAATTGCTAGAACATGTGATAATTCTATTTTTAATTTTTTTGAGGAACTACCATATTGTTTTCCATAGTAGTTACATCATTTTATAGTCTCACCAACAGCACATCAGTGTGTGTGTATGTGTTTTAAGCTCCCCAGTGATTCCAGTTTTGCCATGTTGGCCTGACTGAACTGGAACTCCTGACCTCAGGTGATCCACCCACCTCGTCCAGCCAAGGTTGAACACAGACCTCCTGAAGAGACTGCAGTAGACTGAGCTCCTGAAGAACAAGATTATTTTGTTCACCTTTTAAACCACCGCACTGCACCATGCCTGGCAAACCACACCATGGCACCTGTGTTGAGTGGCACTGTTCCATGTTGTCTTTATATTATTTCTATATAACTTTTGCAAATCTGTAGCTAAGCCAGCTTTCCCTATTAGGAAATACATTGACA